TCTTAGATCTTTTTTGTTTTTTTATTTTGAGACAGAGCCTCACTAAATCATGAAGTTGCCTAGAATAGGCTCCAACTTGCAAGCACCCGGTTTTTACATTCCAGAATGCTAGGATTACAGACCTATTCCACTATATCCAGCTGACTTCTAGTTTTCAGCTCATCACAGAAGCTCATGAGATATTTAAAAGTTTGCTGGTGGGCAAGGTATATGGCTCAGTGGTGGAGGATGGCATTAAAAGTCCCAGGTTTACTGGAGGTCTCCCAGCTTTAATCTAGCCAGTGTGTGCAATGTATGTTAGACAGAATTAGTTCTTGGTATTTGCAGGATCTTGACTGAAATATTTGTTCCATATATTTTAATACTTTCTTACAACTCCTCACCACAAATGTCAAATAAAGTAAGACAAAATATTTCTTTATCTGGAGAAATGAAACCAGGGTAAAGTTGCCACCCCAGGATTTAACAGATGTAATTGTCATTTATGAATTCCTGTAGAAAATACGCTTTGTAGAAAAATAGATATTGCAACTCAAAATTAAATTGTCATAATTTAGGCTTTGACTTGCTTAAAAATAAAACAATAAATGTACATGACAGTGGAGAAATTGTGTTCAGTTATTAATCTGAAATAAATTTTTCAACTGGAATCTGTTTTTTGGTTTACTTACATTTGGAACTGACTCTTCAAATGGAATACTATGCAGAATTCTCTCTTTCAAACAATTCACCTGCCTTTCTCTGACATCTATTCAAAGGCTTTACCTAAGCAAATCAATGAAGTCTGTGAATTCAGATCCTTATACTGATTCACAATTGAGGGTTTTTTTTTAATTTTATTTAAGAGGAAAAAGAGAAAAACACAAAATGAGGTTTTTTTTTAAAAGCTTGTTTCCTATCAACTTTGCTCAAGTTTGTTTCAACTGTTAAAGTCTATTTTGCATTGTTGACCATTGGCTTTAGAATGTTTTATAATTTTATTTAAAGAAAGACTAAACAAAACAGAAAATGGGTAAAAATAATACATATGTTCTGAGAAAAATAAACAGTAAAAAATCACTAGTTAATGTTTACATACTGTCCTTTTACAAATTGTTGTTCAAGATACAAAAGTGAAACATAAAAAGTGGTAATTCAAACAGTGAGACTGCAAACAGTTCTGTTCAACTATTCAACAAAAACTTAGTAATATGGTTGTCGGTCCTATACACTTAAACATACATGCAGTTATCCATATCTTCATTTATGTTGAGATTAAACAAACTAAAGCAGGCTAAAGTCATTCTGAACAATGAATGATAGTATTGCTGGATTTCATATCATGACACTCCAGGATCAGCACTGAATAATGTAGTGTCTTTTTTAAAAATTTTATTTAGAGAAAGACTAAAAAAATGGGGGGAGGTAAAAATAGAACTAACTTTCAAAGAAAAAACTGGACAGTAAGAAATCACTAGTTGATGATTACAGATTGTCTACTTACAAATAGATATGATACTAATGTGGAGCATATAAAGTGGGGATTCAAACAGTGAGACCAGAACCAGTTCTGTTCAATCATCCAACATAAACTTAGAAATATGGTTATCAATCCTATACACTTAAACATACATGCAGTTATCCATATCTTCAATTATGTTGAGACTGAACAACCCCAAGCAGTCTAATGTCATTCTGAACAAAGAATAGTACTATTGCTGTGTTTCACGTTATGACCCTCCAGGATCAGCACTCGGTATTTTAGTGTCTCTTTTTCTTCAAAGGATCTGTTCATTTCATCATGTGTCATAAGATCAGTTCTCATAAACTGTTTATAGCTTCTACACATACATGAGTCATAATATGTATTTCTATCTTTTCTATATTAGAGAGAGAAACAAAACAAAGCAAGATAAAAAACATATTCCTATAAACACATGAAACAAAAGACATATAAGACAATTGTGCAAAGAGTTCTACAATAGTTCCTGTGCTCTTTCTTGTTATCTTCAATAGAATTGGCTATATCATCATTGACATAGTATAATTGAATATATCAGTACATAACAATATTAATAAAAACACAACTTTGTGTATAGTATAAAACTTCAAAAGCAGGCAGTTGTCAAACCAGAATTTGTATCATAGAGTCTTGTCATCTTCAGTGTAGTTGCCTGTACTCTTCAGACTTGATAGTATCAATAATATCAGGTTTGAATAAAATCTGTTGATACCAAACAGCAATCAAACAAACCAGATTTAACTAAGATCAGTCATGATAAAACAGTACAAGTCATACAGGGCTCCAGATTAAGATAATAAGAAATTAAAGATGATTACTGTGCTATATTCTGATGTTTTTGGGATAGCTGTCTGTGCCCTCAAATCTAATGCAAGTAGACAAACTGTAACAGAATAAAATCTATCAAAAAAAGAATAAAATCTATCTAAGCAGAGTAATGTGGGTTTTAAATACACTATTAATGTCACTATTAATACACTAATACATTATTAACAGTATCTTCTGCCATCTTTTTTAAGACTCTCCCTCCCCTTTCCCTTCCCGAGGGTACACTGTGCATTTTGGGGTCTCACCAAGACCCTTGGTTTTAAATTGGGGAAGGGCAACCTGCCATTTACGTAAGTAGTTCCGAACTTTCTCTCTCCTGGACTTGATCTCTAATTGTATTCCTTTACCTATTGAAGCCTGTCTTTCCAACCTATCCACAAATACTGGTCTAGTTGCCCCTATTATTCTCTGGTTCTCTGTCACATAGAGCATTGTATTCTCATATTTGGTTTTCAGTCTATGTTCTCTTTTTCATGTTAATTATATTTCCTGTAAATAGCATCTCAGTGAGCCCTGCCTCCTGATCTACTCCATATGTGGTTCTTTTTTTTAATGTATCGAGGCCATCTATATTAGAGATTATAACCAATCTTCTCTGCCTTATTTCTGTTATACTTTTTTTTTTTTGCGATCAGTTGTCTGCTTATCTTCTTCATTCTGTTTTCTGCTCCATTCACTGAGACCTCTCTGCCTCTGTTCCTGGAATCCTAGTACTTTTCTCTCTCTCTAGAATGCCTTGAAGTGTTCCCTGTAGAGTTGGTGGTTGTGAATTCCCAGGTGTCTCTTTGTCTTGGAAACATCTTGTTTCTCCGTCAATTTCTAGACACAGTTTAGCAGGATATAGCAGTCTGGGTTGGAGGTTATTTTCTTTCAGGGCTTGAAATATTTCACTCCAGGCTCTTCTTGACTTAATGGTTTGTGTTGAGAAGTCTGCCATTGTTCTGATGGACCTTCCTCTATAGGTTATCTGTTTCTTGTCTCTAACAGCTTTTAATATTCTGTTCTTATAGTGAGTTTCTGGGATCTTGATTATTATATGCCTGGGTCTAGCTCTGTTTTGGTTGTAGGTGGCTGGAGTTCTGTATGCCTCATACATCTGAGCATCTTTTTCTATGTTTGGGAAGTTTTCCTTAATTATTTCTGTGAATAGCCTTTGTAGTTCCTTTGTTTGTACTCCTGCTTCTTCATTCACATTCTTTATTCTCAAGTTATAGATCCTCTTGTCATCGTCTAGCCTTTGTATTGTTACTGTTTGTTTCCTTCTTATTTTTAAAAAGTTTTTCCTCTCATAATCCCACATTGCAAAATTGCCCTCCAGTTTGGATAATCTATCCTTAGTTTCTTTCAAGCTGACTTGACATCTTTCCATAGAGTTTTTAATTTCCTGGTAACCTCTTTGAATCTGCTTCAAGTATTTTATATTTTGCTTATATTCTTGATCAAATGGTTCTCTCCTTTGTTTGAGTTTCTCCCTGCCTCCATCTGTGTCTTCTAGACAGGTGCTTAGCATCTCTTTTATTAATCTGCTTATATCTTGCTTTACTTGGCTAAATATTTCACTTTTGAACTCATCTATGAGGTCCCGAAGATATCTCTTTATGTCCACTGGTGCTGTGTCTGATATTGCATGTTTACCATTCTCATTCTCCTTTGTATTTTCCTGTCTTGAGTCAATGTTCTCAGGATTGGGACTAGGGGACTTTTTGTTGTTGCTTCCTCTTCCCATCTTTTTTGTTTCTTCCTGGAGGCCCCAGTTTCTTTCTTTGTTGGTCACAATTCTTCTGAAGCATGCTGGCTGTGTGACCCTTACCCTTGCAGTTTGCTAGTGATTTGCAAACAGGGGCAGTGTATGCCCCTTCCCTCCAGGTCAGTCAACCTGCTGTGGGCTGCATGGTATTACTGTGTGCAGCCTCTCCTTTGGGTCAGCCAAACTTCTGAGTGTTCTGCATTAGTGTGGTTAGTGTGTGCTGCCACCATAGGGAATTGATTTCGGATAACCTCTTGGGTCTCAGCCAGGTCGCATGACCCAGACCTAGCTCACTCCACCAATCCCATTTGGGAAGGGAACAACTGATTGAAGTCACTCCTGCCCTTGTACTTGCCAGTTCTGCCCAGTCCCAGAATGTCATATGCTGGAGCCCTCCTTTCTGTGGAATGGCTCCACTCCTGTCACTCACCACAGGTTGATGCAGGCTCCCTGCCAGCTCAGCTCTCCATTCAGCTGGCTGACCCCCAATATCTGTGTGACTGTGCCTCCAGTGAGTCAAAGCAGTGGGACTTCGGATAGCTTGACAAGTTGCCCACTGCGGTGGGATCACTGACCCTCTAGCTGTTCCAATAATAGCACCGGGAATGTATGTTTGATTGGTTCTTCTTACCTTAGTTTCTTCTTGGTATGAGAGAATTCATCTCCCTCTGTTCGGGCCTCCCCACGCTGTATTATGTTGAATTCGAAGTTGACTATCTCAGGGAGCCTCTGTTGGCTTTAGAATTTTGATTAAATTTTTTAAAATCATTTTGATTGACTAGCAGAACTCACACATATTTATATTGTAGAACAGGACATAGCTTATATGTAGACATTTGGGAAAAAACATCTCTATTTAACACATGCAATACATCACATACCATATACAAATGAATATCATTGTTGTAATACAATTTTATTCTCTTTCTCTTTTCTATTTTTTGTCCTTAAAGCTGTATAGAGCCAATGATTTTTCAATCTATATTTATTTGAGAAAAATTTAACAAAATATTGTGGCACAATGTGAATTCAGAAGCCGGGGAGGAAGTCAAGTTAAACACAAAGGAGCCAGCAGAATTTGAAGCTGATCAGTCTGTACTGGGGCATCCCAGTCAGGGACAGGGTTGCAGGAAACAACCTCAGGGAAGACATGTCCTGTGGAGAACCTGGCCCTGTGATAGTCTTTCTCTTTCTGGAAGCATAAGAATCAAGCAAGAATGCTGGCACAACTGGAAAGGCAGGGACATAAATCCTTCAGAGTTGTCACCTTCACTTCAGCTCAGGAGCCCTGCAGAGACAGAGGACAGTGGTGTTTCCAGGCATCATTCTGAACACAGCTTCTTTCCTTTCTCAAGACCTCTTGTGACAATACTGCCATATAAAGAGAAAAACAAAAGATCTCCCTGAGCGAATGTACTTGACAGTGTAGACTTTTTGCTAAGTGGAAGAAGGAGGTTTAACACCAATTGCCTCATCAGAAGCTGAATTCAATGCCGTTCCTACTATTGCCCTCTAGTGTCTTGTCACAAATATCACCTCTTGTGGGGAGAGGAATTCTGCTTCTGAGGAGGCTGAAATTAACTGCCACCAGAATTCCTGGGAAATTTCCTGGGAAAAATAATGTAAAAGGGAGAATGATGACATGTGCAAACCTTCTCCTAAACGGACTCTTCCCAGTGTTGCATATGCAATTTAATATTTATCACCATGACTCACTCCAGTCACCATGGAGACGGGAGCACAGACTGAGCACAAAAGACCTAGGAAGCTTCTGTCCCAGACCCAATGGTGGTGGCTCTCCATTATTTGCCATTGTACCAGAGCCATTATTTGTATGCTAGCTAACCTTTCTCTGTAGACATAAGGTAGACTTTTCCTTTCAAATTCCTAGGAAATTTTGAGGTCACCGATGAAAGAAAAGTTTCATATAGGGCCATAGAAATGTGGAGAAAAAAACCTGCAAAGTCCTATTTCTTGCCCAGACACATCTTTGGAAAATCTCATGCACCAAAAAACTCCTTACCAAGCGACTCCTGAGGTAGATGAACATCCCCACCCCAAGGAAGAGCAGACCCAGCAAGAAGCCCCCAACTCCACTCAGTATCTTGCTCTGTGCAGATCCAGACTGTGTCCCTGAGGGGAGAAGCCAGGTTTAGGAATTTTTGTTCTAATTAAACTTCCTTCAATTGAGACACTGAATATCAAAGGCTTGAGACTGGAGGCTGATGCCTGCATTAAGAGAGATAGAATTGGTCACTCCTAGAAAAAAAGATTAAAAATCACTCTGAAAAGTCCTAAGTCATATAAGTGAAAGAGTTGCTGGCTCAGACTGAACACTGTAACCAGAAAAGGCTGCTGCTAAACTTCTCCCCCCCCCTGCCCCCTATGGACTTGATTGTAATCCTATATCCACATCCTTAAGGACCTGTGCGCCAATGAGATACCTATGCATCTCTAATGGCCTTAGGGCGCTGCCCTAAGCTTAGGCTATTTAGATTCCCCCACTCCACGTGTCCCAGAGAGTTCGCCAGAGAGAGAGTTCGCCAGAGAGAGAGAGCTCGCCGGATTCCAGCGGCCAGCGCCAGCCAGCACGCCAGTCTCCACTCCCCGTGTTGCCGGAGAGACCACCGGCCCCGGGTGCAGAGATGCTGCGCCCCGGGGCCGGTGGCGGTGGGGGGCCCCCTCCCCGCATTCCCGGAATAAAGTCACCGCTGCCCACTACTTTCACGGCCGTCCACTCCGCTCCATTCCTCCCACGGACTTCTCCCTGTCATCCCATCTTCCCCCTTCTCTCAGACCTAACAATAAGCACTGAGTTCATAAAATGCTACAACTCTGAAATAATATGGGAAATATAAACTTTGTGTCACTCAGTGAAGTGAAGTGCTCCATCCAGGATGGCAGAGCTAATGAACAGCAGAGGTGAGAGTGGACTCCACTTACCTGGAGAAGGGCCCTGCATCCTCCTCAGATCACAATGAACAGCTCAGCAAAAGCATCAGAAACACAAGCCCAGCCCAGAGGCAGGGTCTGAGGTAAGGGCAAAGGGTGACCCCACCTGTAACCTCATGGGAGGGCTCACACCAAGGACAATCACTTTTCTGTCTCATATGCACAATTAGTTCCCTCAGTGGCATAGGTATTATGGAAACCATCACAGAACTGCACCCTGTGGGTGCACAATTAGTACCCCCAGTGGCATAGGTATTGTGGAAACCATCATAGAACTCCACCCGTGGGTGTGCTGGAGGAGAGAATATGGAAGAAATAGAATTTGGGGGTAGGGAGAAGAGAAACCTGAAAGACCATTTATAGGTAGATGGGGCATTTATAGGGTCAGGAAGCTGCTGGCTTACTCCACTCCACCGTGACAGGGCTGCTCCAGCTCACGTGCTCCACCTGGCAGGCATAAACGTCTCCACTCTGAAGAACAGTTTCTAGCATGACCAGGGTCTGGAAGGTCCAGTCTCCATTCTGGATCAGGCCTGTGGACACCACCCCAGTCTCCTGCTCCTGTCCATTCTGGAACCATCTGACCTCAATGTGTCCTGGGTAGAAGCCACTCACAGAGCAGACCAGGAGGTTGTGGTGCTGCAGGGGTTGGGTCCTTGTGGGGTACACGTTCACCTTGGGCTCAGCTAGAAGAAAAAAGGCAGAGAGAACCAGTCAGGAGGCAGAGTATTCCACTCTTGTCTACCTCCTGCTCCATTCACAGGGAGAAGCCCTGGTGAACTTGCTCAAAGTTGGCACAGGGTCTAAGAGGAATCAGTGTCATGACCCTTGAATATAATCCAGACATCAAGGATGCACTAGAATTGAGATATTTTAAGGAAGAGTGTTTTGATGTTCATATCTGTCTGTCTCTGTCTTTCTGTGCATCTGTGCCTCTTTCTCTGCCTGTGCAATCTGTGCACACACGTGGGTGCGCACATGCACGCATACTCCTTCCCCACCCTCCCAGGCTGCCCCAGGGCCCTCGCACACCTCTCAGATGCACAGTCAAGTTCTGGGAAACCTCGTAGTTGAATCTACAGAAAGTGTTCACTGTGGCCCGCTCCTGCTCCAGGGCATCCTTCCACCTGTTCCAGACCTGGGCTGCAGCCTCTCCCCGCTCTGTCACAGCTTGGAACTCCCCCACATCGCTGTCGAATCTTGCATATTCTTCCAGGTTAAAGATGTGTCTCTCCAGGAAGCGCACTCGCTCTGTGCCATTGGAGAAGTGACATTCCGATTTAACGTACTCCATGAAACGGGCTGCGAGAACAGGGGCAATCCAGTCCAAGGCCATCCTCTTGGGAAGAAGTGCCCACAATAGAGGCCTCCATAAGACCAGTGTCCCCCGGTACATCTCTTACCTCCCAGAGGCAGGAGGAGCCCATGAGGACCCAGATGTCATTGGGGACCCAGTCCCCCTTGGTTCTGGGTGAGAACAAGACCCAGGGGCTGGGCAAACACTTGCTCCTCACCACAGCCTGGAAACCTACACCCCTGGCACCCTCCACACTCTCAGCCCATAGCTTCCCTCTTTACATAGGACCATCTCCTTCACTCTGGAAAATCTCCCTCATGCTGACCCAGTGCCAGGCCTCTGCTGCCCCTGGGAATCCAAAGAAGGGAAACCAAACATCTCCATTCCACTCCTGGAGCCTGAATTAGGGAAAGTGAGGTGCAAAAGCCAAACATGGTGAAGGTTAGACAAGAGGGAGAGGTGTGAGAAAGAGAAGCGTGAATTCTGTTAACAGCGAAGAGCAGGAAGATCTAAATGACAGCAAGTGTCAGAGAGACTCGGGTTGTGGCCCTCGGGTTGTGACAGGGAGGGTGAAGTCTGTGCTGTCACCAGAGGCCTATGCAGGGCACGCATGATTCCAGCATCCTGGCAGATCAGATCCAGCAACTGGTCCCAAAAGACAGGCTGGGGAAAGTGGTGAAGTGAGAAAGGGATGTTTCCAGGGGGGTTGCTCTGGCAAGGGACAGGAGAAAAGCGCCCCCAGCTCTGACTGTGGGATGTTGGCCACAGCTCCTGGTTGATCCTGGGGAAGAACAAAAGTGGAGGCCAGAAGCACACCTAGGAAGGAACCTGCTGAAACTGTGGCCTGGAGGTCACTGTCTGGGGACCCTTCCAACCACGCTCTCTTTCCTCCCTTCAGGGCCTCATTTTCCTCTGGCTTCTTGAGGTAATGTACATTCCTTCCTTTTGCAAATGCCATTACTTTTGCCTGAAATGCATCTCCTGTTTCTCCATGGTGTACACATTTGCCATACCACGCTCCTCTCTCTAACACTGGAACGAGGGTGCTCTTGTTCACAGCACGCTCCGCTCATAGACCTGCAGGTGTCTGGTGAGTAGTGCAGGACACAAACTCGGTACCTCAGTCTGTGTTTTGCCTTGTTCTCCTCTGCTACCTTAAACCTTGGGTCAGGTAGCTGCTGAACTCTGCACTCAGACATGTTCATCTTTTGAGAAGTGCTCCCCTAAACAGATAATCCTCCTCTAAAGGCAAACATCATAGTCAGCCACCAACCTTCCCATCATACCATTCCAGGCCATCTGCCCAGCCCTACCAGTGCCCGCCATGGCCTTTAGGAGGACACAGTCACCGTCCTCACCTCAACTCACCTCTCTGTTATTTCTTCCCAGTGGCTGGTTTCTAGGAGCAATGTTTTTGACCAATATATATTTTGTCATAAGAATTGAAGCTCTCCAGGCAGCGGAGAGTTTCTTTAGGAGTTGGGGTCTTCATAACTGACCCTGAGTGAAGCTGGAGCCAGAGCAACGTGCTTTCATGACCCTCAGTGAAGGACCTAAGAGGGTTCTGTCTTCTTCCTTTATTTCTTTTCAGAACTACATGAGAAGGATCTTAAAAGAAGCACATGCTAGAAGATTATCTATAATTTATTATCTGACCTCAAAATGTCACTTTGAAGTAGTATTTCACAAAATTAGGAGAGTTTTTAAATGAGAGTTTTTTAAAAAGTTACTTTTGTCACCATTTTTCTAAATGTTAAAGAGTAAAAAGACAAGGCCTCAAGCTTGATTCTGTGAGAAGGAAAGAAAACAAAGATCCCATCTAACAATCTCTGGGTCTTCTCCCCTACTTCAGAGTCTTTTTTTTTTTTTAATTTAAGAGGAAAAAGAGAAAAACACAAAACAAACCAAAGCGGTGTAAGGGTACACGTAATACAGAACTACAAAAAAACAAAACAAAACAAAAAAAAACAAAACAAACAAACAAAAAAAAAACATAACAGTAAGAAATCACCTGTTAGTATATTACATATTATCATCTTGAAAATAGTTCCTCAAATCACAGTATCAAAGAATACAAGGTGGACATTCAGAGTCTTAACTCTGGGTTAGGTGAGAGAAAACAATGGAAGTCTGGAGTGGTTTGGAGTGTCAGAGAAAGTGCTGCTGTGATTTACATCAGAATAAGAAGCACTGATTATATGCCCTGGGAGGATTTCAACTCACCTCTTTAGAGCTACAGATTTAACCTAAAAGTAAGGGAAAGGATTCTTATCCTGTTGTGGTATGGCCTTCGCATTTAAAATTACACTCTAATTTAATATAATTTCTTCATGCATTCTGGTTATTTTCTTGTCTGTCTGCCGGATAATCTGTTCTGAATAATAGGCTAATGTTGGGAGCCGCAGCCCCGAGCCCGGTCGCCTTACTTGGCGGACGTGAGGCCTGTAGGAAAGAGTAAAGCCTGAGGTAGATTACCCCTCCCATCGAGCACGTTAGTTTCCTGCTTACCGCGTAAGCAACCCACTCAACAATATAGTCTGCCTGGCAACTGATGATGTTAGCCAATCAGCTTGCCTTGCTTACTTTAACATGATTGGACACTGTATCCGTATATATACTGGTGCCACCCCTGGGGGGAAGAAGAAGCCCGGAAGTAGAAGCCCAGAAGGAGCCGCGGGGAGCGGACCAAAGGAGGCTTCGGCTGGGAGCGATCCCAGGGCAGGCTGTACGGAGAAGGAAAATAAAAGAAAAGGTTGTCCACTGCCAGACTTTGTCGTGTGTCCTTCCTGCCGGCCGGGAGCGACATCGACATTTGGCGGCCCGCACGGGGACTGATCACCCCCGAGACGTGACAGCGGACAACGCTCCAGTACAGAGCTGCGAAACAGGTGAGTTGGGGATAAGCCTGGGCTCTGGGTGGCGCGCACCTACAGGGCTTTTAGACTCCCCTCAGGCTCACGCGTAAGTGGCGGATTCCTTGGGCCTCACGCGGTGAGTAACATATTAAAAAATGGGAAACATGCTAGGTAGCAACACTAAGAGCGAGGGTGGTTGTGGAGAAAGCTCTCAAGAGCTTACAAAAGTACGCAGGGTATTTGAGCAGGCCCAGTCAGGGAGCTCCCGAGAGGGGCCCGTCAAGGGGAACAAAGATGCTAAGGAGAAGGACGGGGCTCTAGCCTCGGAGTCGTCTGACTCCGAGGACGAGGGAAAGTTGAATGGCAAGGAGGCCAAAGAGACCAGCTGTCAGGAGCCTAAGTCGCTCGATAAGGAGTCGCAGGGTTCTTTCCCAGCGTTGCGCCGTGAATTGCGCTCCGCTCAACTTGGTCTGCGGAGGAGTAGAGAGCTCCTGAGCGCTCCCCGGCGCGAGAGGGAGGCGAAGCCTTCCGCCCCACCTTGGGGGCTGTTCCCGGAGGCGATCCCTCGCCGCGAGGCAGCCGCCCGGGAGCTCCCTTCCCCTTCGCCAGAACAGGAAGTGATGCACGGGCCCCCATTTTCCGCCCAATCATGGCCGCCGTCTTATGCTCCGCCGCCGGCGGGTCGGTATTTTTACAGGCGGCTTTGGCAGGGGGGACGTTTGTCTCATGAGGTACATCCACCACCTGGGATAGATAGTGGCCCCTACGGGATATTTCCTGTACAAGTAGCTATGGGTCAGGGACGTAATGCATGGGAGCCTTTTGAGATAAAGCAGATTAGAGAACTTAAAAATGCAGTTACAACCTTTGGGCCGACTGCGCCTTACACCATTGCCATGCTGGAGAACCTGTCTTCTGGGCCCCTCACCCCCGCGGACTGGATTCAGCTGGCAAAGGCGTGTCTGCCCTCGGGTAGTTACCTGGATTGGCGAGCCTGGTACGCAGAGTTCTCTGCAGAGCAGGCTGAGAGAAACGCCAATCGGGGAAACCGGGGGTGGAACAAGGAAATGCTTATGGGAGAAGGTCGGCACGCTGATGATCAGACTCAGTTCCCCGGCGCTGTCTATGAACAAATCAATGCCATAGGGCTCCGCGCCTGGAAGCAGGTAAGTGGTGCCGGAACAGCCTCCTTGTGTCTTTCAAAAATAATTCAGGGTACCACAGAGCCATTTGTTGACTTTGTGGCCCGAATGCAAGATGCTGCCGATAAGATATTTTCTGATCCGGGAGTGGCTCGACCGCTGGTAAGGCAGCTGATTTTTGAGCAATGTACAAAGGAGTGCAAGGCAGCGATAGCTCCTCATAAGAACAAGGACCTCAACGCCTGGATTAGGATATGCAGAGAGATAGGGGGGCCGCTCTCCAACTCGGGAGTGGCTGCTCTCCTGGCCGCGGCTGTACAGCAGAGGGGACCTCGCGGGTTAGAAGGGGAATGTAAGGCTAAAGGGTGTTTTGCCTGCGGGGAGCCAGGACACATTAAACGTCATTGCCCAAACAATGCAGATGCTAGGCCTCGCCCTAGGAATGAAGAACCATATGTTTGTGGGCGATGCAAGAGGGGATCACACAAAGCTGAGGAGTGTAGGTCGGTCTTTGATGCTCAGGGCAACCGCATTTGTGGACGAGATGCTAGAGGGCAAAAAAACGGCCAGAGGGGGCCCCCTTCACAGGCGGGCCCCCGCCCCAGAGACAGGACAGCTCAGGATGGCAGCCTTCAACAAGGGCCACCCCTGGGTCAGCAGGTGTGGACCTCAGTGTCGCCTCCAGACTTATATTAGTGCCTGATATGGGTGTTCAAGTGGTTGAAACCACCTTTAAGGGACCGTTACCCGAAAATTCCGTGGGTCTGGTGATCGGGAGATCCTCCACGGCCCTTCGGGGTCTCGTAGTAGTCCCGGGGGTCATAGACTCAGACTACACAGGACACATTAAAATTATGGTTCAATCTCTTGTGGGTACTATGGTAATCAATAAAGGAGACAAGATAGCGCAGCTCTTGCTGCTCCCCAGTCTCCACAAGAGATTTCCCTCAAAGCAGAAAATTAGAGAAAGTCAAGGTTTCGGTTCCTCAGGGGAAGTCTTCGAGGGAC